AGAGCTCTCGCGTAGGGTTTGTGTTTCGCCGCCTTGGTGCGACGCTTCTTTCAATCGACACAGCTCTGCACCGGATTACCGTGGTTTTGACGCAGCTCGGGATGAATGATCCTGGCAGCGAGAAGATAGTGAAAGAAGAGGGAGAGAGACGTAGGGATGATCGAGACATGGTTAGCGTGGAGAGGTTGAATGCTCCATCCGATGGCATGGATTTGGGTCATACCTCCGCTAGCGGCGGGTAAGCTAGCGAGAGAGGGTATCAATCGAGCGACGGTCCGACCTCCGCCTGAACCACCACCATGGGTTGTACGAGGTGCTAGAGTCCGTGAACGTTTTCCTAGTAATTTTTATCTGTTTGTCATTTGTTTTCTTGTGTTCATCTTTGTTGTTGGTTTTGACAGTTTGTTTGAGTTTTTAGCCTCTCGTTATGTCATTGGGTATGGTTGGATCTATGAGAATAAGTTTGGCTGTGTCAAGCCCACTACATGGTTAGCGATTCGTGTTGTTCTTTTAGGGGTGAGCGTCTCAAAGTCTCATTATAGGGTTTACAGTCGTAGTTGTTGGAGTTCAGTTGGTGTCAGTTTTATTTTTCCATTTGTCTGATGTAATGATCCTGAGTCTTTTGATATGAATAGATGCTTGTTTTGATGATAAAAAACAATTAAGGTCTTAATATGGCAAAAAATTAGTCATACAATACATGACCTTGAAGTAATCTTTATCTTTATATCTTTATATATATAAAGAGAACATGGTGGTGATCCAAATAGAAATCTATTTGGAGCCAAAAGAAGTGAAAAATTGTTGTCACTATTAATTGAAGCATTACTTAATGAAGCCATATTAAGTGCCAACCTGATTAATTATTGTAAGTTATAAATAAAACTTTAGAAAATTATTGTCACTATTAATGAAGCATTACTTAGTGAAGCCTTATTAAGTGTCAACCTAATTAATTGTTATAAGTTATAAATAAAACTTTAGAAAATTATATTGAACATAAATACATTAAATATTAAAAAAATATTAAAAGATACATTTACATAATTAATTAAGAGACATAATATAATAAAGTTAAAAATGAAATGTTCTAATTTTAGAATATAAAATAGATTATTACAATATATTTGGATACAAATATTATGTAAAAGACAATGATAATTAATACTGAGTACCCCATTAAATGTGTCCAGAATTGACTTTCATGTGGAATATAAATAAAGTAAAAATTACTTTGTATATGATTGAGATTTTTATAAATCAGTCGAGAAAAATAATTTACCTACAAAGTTATTAGTTTAAATGGAAATGACAATTTTTGTTGGGGCAGTTGCAAAAATAAAGTTAGCACAATTTAACGAGATGAGGGAGTAATTGTTTTTTATAATTAGCTGCAACATAAAATACAAAAATTCATTCATTTAATTCTACTATAACTATTCATTAGTAAATACTCCTAAGTAACTATTTTAAAAACCGTTGAAATCACAATTTGAAATAATGTTTCCCAATTTTGAAATGATTTTTTGCATTTCCAATTTTGTTTACAAGTCAAATTGGTTCAATGATATTGAATTATACAATTTTATGATTCAACCCGCGATTGTAACAACGTTGATATATGTAGTTCTTATAAAACATATAGTGATTTTAACAATCTTGATCTGTCGCTTTTATAAAACATATATTGAGATGAATGAAGAGATATTATGGAGTATAAAAAATATTTTCACTTTTTAGATGGAACATATTTAGAAATTTTAAAACACAACAAGATAGTAAAAAGTAATGTCATGTTTTGAATAATCATCATAATTATTATAACTAAATAATACTACGTATGAGACTGTAATAGGATAACAATTGTTATCATCTTCATTAGACAAGATATGTTAGGGATGAAAAACACTTATTTGGTAGTTTTATCCTAATTGGTGCATCTCTAACAGACTAACAATGATCATACATGTATTCTAATATAATTCTATATCATGTTTTTATTTTTATACAATAAGTATGTATATACACAATACTCATGAAATAAATTATTTGTAAAAATAAATTGATTTCATCTGTTCTCCGTGCAACGCACGGATGGATTGACTAGTTAAAGTTAAGGGTAATAATGGATAGATGTATAATTTACTCGAATAAATTTACAATTTTCCCTTTCCATTACTACTAGTAGTATATAAATTATTACTCCGGGTAGTGTATTATTAGAATGAATTAGATTATCAAACCGTCAGTGTTTATTCACGAGTTGGCTGTTTAAATAATAGAGTACAAGAGTCCTAACTAGTATACAATCGTATATGTACGTAAATAAAGGTGGAGCAATACCAGACTAACAACTTGAGTCTATCGGTTTGCTCCCTAGTGCGGAAGGGATAAACTCTATCTACTCTATCTAAAATGTGTACAATAAATTAACAATAGAATTAATAAATTAACAATACAATTAATATTAGTAACAGATAATGATTGAGATGATAACGATTGCATGGTATGGCCACGCATATGCATGCATACGTTAAGACGCCCCCGCAGTCACAGCCGGAGGAGGACGAATGCTGAGACTGGACCGGAAATCATCGAATAAAACTCTAGGCAATCCTTTGGTGAAAATATCGGCGAACTGATGACGAGAGGGGACGTGTAACACGCGCACTTCTCCACGGGCGACTTTTTCTCGAACAAAGTGAATGTCAAGCTCAATATGTTTAGTCCGTTGATGGTGAACAGGATTGCCAGACATGTAGATGGTACTGATGTTATCACAATAGACAATAGAAGCTTTGTTCAATGGTGAGTGGAGTTCAAGAAGAAGGTTGCGGAGCCAGCAAGTTTCAGCCACAACATTGGCAACGCCGCGGTACTCAGCCTCGGCACTAGAACGGGAAACAGTGGGTTGACGTTTGGAAGACCAAGAAAGGAGATTATCACCCAAGAAGACACAATAGCCAGAAGTAGAGCGACGAGTATCCGGACACCCGCCCCAATCGGCGTCAGAGTAGGCGACAAGAGAGGAGGTAGGTGAAGCCCGTAGATAAAGGCCAAAGTGTGAAGTGCCGCTGATGTAACGGATGATCCGTTTGAGGGCATTATAGTGCGGAAGACGGGGATCATGCATGAAGAGGCAGATTTGTTGGACGGCGTAGGAGATGTCTGGGCGGGTGAAAGTAAGGTATTGTAGAGCCCCTGCTAGACGACGGTAGAGAGAAGGATCAGGTACTGGAGGACCAACCGTGGCACTAAGTTTGGACTGTGTGTCCACAGGCGTAGCAACTGGGTTGCACGAACTCATGCCAGCTCGGGACACAATGTCTTGTGCGTACTTCTGTTGGGAAAGGAAGAGGCCGCCAGATTGGGGAGTGACCGAGATTCCAAGAAAAAATGTGAGGGGCCCAAGGTCGGTCATAGAGAATTCTGCGTGAAGACTGGAGATGATGGAGCGGCGGAGGCGGTCAGAAGAGGCGGTGAGGATAATATCGTCTACGTACAAAAGGAGATAAGCCGTGTCCTCACCATGATGAAGAATAAAAAGTGAGTGGTCACACTTACTGTGATGAAAACCAAGAGTAGCAACATAAGTGGTGAACCTGTGGTACCATGCACGTGGGGCCTGCTTGAGGCCGTACAAAGACTTGAGAAGACGACAAACATAATCAGGATGAGTAGAATCACGAAAACCGGGTGGTTGGTACATAAAAACGGTTTCCTCCAAGTGGCCATGCAGAAATGCGTTTTTGACGTCCAATTGATGTAGGGGCCATGCATGGGATAGAGCTAGGCTGAGCACTGTGCGAATGGTAGCGGGTTTGACCACGGGGCTAAAAGTCTCATCACAATCAACCCCGACTTGTTGAGAGTTTCCGTTGACAACAAGTCTCGCTTTATGTCGTTCCAAGGTCCCATCAGATCTGTATTTATGTTTAAAAAGCCACATACATCGAACAATATTCACGTTAGCGGGTCGGGGAACCAACTCCCACGTCCTATTTTTAATAAGAGCACTATACTCATCACACATAGCATTTTTCCAGTTTGAATCACGAAGAGCGTCAAGAGGTGTGCGTGGGAGGGGTGACGGATTATTGGAGGAGGTAGTGGCAGAAAGGTTGACGTGGGTTTTGGGTTTGAAAATCCCAGCACGTGCCCGGGTGACCATGGGATGGCGGGTATGGGCAGGGGGGTTTATGGCTAGTGGGGACGGTGTGCTTGGGATTTGGTTGCCAGATGGCGGTGAAGTATAAGAAGTGTGATGAGGCGGAGTAGGAGGTGTACTGGGTGGGGGGGAAGGCGTGGAACGATGCATGGGAGTTTGGGGCCATGCAAACAGGTGTGGCATTTGGGTAGATAAATGAGGTGGTTGGTCAAGAAAGGTGTATTGGGAGGGGGGTGTCGGCTGGGGAGTTTGAAAAGGCAGTACATTTTCATTAAATGTTACATGCCGGGATATTATTATTTGGTTAGTGGATAAATTAAGGCATTTAAATCCCTTGTGATTAGGTGGGTATCCCAAGAAGGCACATGGGGTGGAACGGGCCTGGAGCTTATGAATGGTAGAGGAGGGGAGATGAGGGAAACATAGACATCCAAAGACCCGGAGGTGTGTGTAGGTAGGGCGTTGGAAATATAGTTTTTCCGTGGGGGAGGTGGATGAGCTAGACAAGGATGGTAGAATATTATAAAGATAGGTTGCCATTTGTACGGCGTGAGGCCATAGCATGGGTGGCAGGGAGGCGTGTAAAAGAAGAGTACGAGACATATTGTTAATTGTCCGTATAGTACGTTCGGCTTTGCCATTTTGAGGTGACGTATAAGGACAAGAGAATCGAAAATGAAGTCCATGGGAGTCCCCAAATTGGCGGAAGGAAGAATTAATATATTCAGTGCCGTTATCACATTGTAGTACCTTAATACTACGCTCAAACTGAGTCCGTATATAATTATAAAATTTAACAAATACGGAAAACGTTTGAGATTTAGATTGGAGAGGAAAAATCCATAAATAACGAGTAAAGTCATCTAGGAAAAGAACATAATACCGGTGACCGGTGGAACTTAAAACAGGAGAAGTCCATAAGTCACTATGTATTAAATCAAACGGATGTAAAGTAATAGACTGAGAAGACTGAAATGGTAATTTGGTATGCTTGCCCATTTGACATGAAGTACAAGAATGAGAAAACAATTTATTACATTGAATAGCATTATTTGTTCTAAGTAATCTAAAAACTGGATCCCCAGGATGACCAAGCCGACTATGCCATATGTCACCAGAAGTGTGCAACAAAGCCGACGAGGGATAGGATAATGGCCCGGAGGACTGTGAAACTGGGTAGAGTTGACCGGAACTATTACACCTCAGAAGTGGCGCCCCCGTGTGGAGATCCTTCACAGAAAAACCATACGGGTCAAATTCAACAGTTACATTATTGTCAGATGTAAATTGACGAACAGAGATAAGATTTTTAACAAGTTTGGGAGCATGGAGGACATTAGATAAATGTAAAGGGAGATTAGAAGTGGGGATATGGGTAGAGCCGTGACCCAAAATGGGAACGGTTTGACCGTTGCCGACTAAAATATGAGAATCAGTGCGCATATTAAAGTAAGGAGTGAGAATACCCGACGATGATGTCATATGCGACGTGGCCCCGGTGTCCATGTACCAGTTGTCGTCCGGTGGGGAGAGAGACATAGTATGCATGGCGGCTTGAATGTCGGTAGGAGTAGCCGCATAAGCCTGAGCGGGATGAGGACCAAGAATACCTGCCGATGCCCGAGGTGCCGGTGGACCTCCCCAGGGTGTTGTGGGTACCGGGCAAGGAGGGATTGCCCACTGAGGTGGCGGCCAGTAAGCCCACGGGGGACAAGACCACTGCAGCGGACGGGGCATAGCCGGAGTAGAAGTGGATACATCACTGCGTGGTGTTTGACGGGTACGACCACCCCGAGAGGAGCCACCACGACCGCGGGATCGAGAATTCCTGCCATCCGAACGAGAATGTGTTGGGGGTTCACTGGGACGCGGCGGCGGCGGCGGCGGCGCATTGTGCAACATAGCAGTTTCCTGGGACTGTCCGTGTTGTTGTTTCTTCCGTGCTTCTTCAAGTGTCAGCATGGATTGAGCCTTAGAAAATAAAGGTAAGGGATCCGCTTGCTGAATAAGAGAAGCAACCACATCATATGGCTCGGTCAGGCCATTGACTAAGCGGAGAACAAGACGCTTATTGTCAACGGGGGAATCAACATTGGCCAATTGATCGGAAAGAAGCTTCAACGCCTTGCAATAGGAAGAGATATTAGAGAATTGTTCAAGACGAATGTTGGAGAACTGATTCTCCAAATACACGGCTCGGGATTGTTTATTGTCTTGAAAAATGTCCTCGAGATGCTCCCATGCCAATTGAGCCGTGGAGTTTGGCTCAATAATGGTATGGAGCAAATCAGTGGTAATAGTACCATAGATCCATTGTAAGACAACAGCATCTAGACGAGTCCAGAGAGCTTTAGCCTCGGCGGCGGCGGCCGCCCGTTCCATTTGCTGCTCAGGTGTGAGAGAAGAGGAAGATGCACTGGTGGAGGATGTTGACGTGGCAGGCGTAGGGATGATGTGATCAAGGACCTCATAAGCTCGAGCTGTAATTTTGAACAGCTCGGCCCAGGAGGAGTACTCGACGGTTTCGATATCAAGAGTAATCGGGATGAAATTTCGGATGTTGGAGACGGCCAGGGCTGGGTGAAATTTGGCCGGAGAAGAGGAAGTCATGATGGAGAGGAAAAGAACGAAGCGTCTGATACCAAATTAGATTATCAAACCGTCAGTGTTTATTCACGAGTTGGCTGTTTAAATAATAGAGTACAAGAGTCCTAACTAGTATACAATCGTATATGTACGTAAATAAAGGTGGAGCAATACCAGACTAACAACTTGAGTCTATCGGTTTGCTCCCTAGTGCGGAAGGGATAAACTCTATCTACTCTATCTAAAATGTGTACAATAAATTAACAATAGAATTAATAAATTAACAATACAATTAATATTAGTAACAGATAATGATTGAGATGATAACGATTGCATGGTATGGCCACGCATATGCATGCATACGTTAAGAGAATGCAATATCTAATTGCTGTTGCAGAAAGTAGATAAAACATTACTAGATGCAATATATATTAGACTATTATTAATATTTTTGAATATCATAATTGGTTCGCTTAAAAAAATACCTAAGTGTTAATAGATAAAGACTAGTAATAATTTTATGTTTAAATTAATTGTATGAAGATTATTTTAATTAAATCACAACACCCATATCATCATTGGTTCTGTCCTCTATACGGCTCTACTATACCTTGTCTTTCATAAGTGGTGTTTGATTTGCAAGTTCCACTTGTATATTAGTCAATTAGTCATCATGTAAGGTTTTCGTTTGTTCTTTAGTGTATCCATGATCAACCTTATCTTGCTTTATCTTGCTTTTCATTGCTTGTACGTTCCTCACTTTCGGGTTATACTATATATACCATTTGTGGCCGGCCAAATTGAGCATCATCTAATCTAATCTAGACTCATGTGATATAATTTGGTATATTAGATCCGAGATATGTTCAGTTCCTTGAAGAAAAACTAGACATTATACTATTTGATCGAAACAGCATAAATACCATAACAATTATGTTCAATGATAAGCAAATTGTAACAAGTAAAATTCATTTGTAATGGAAAGCAATTATTAACACTGCAAATAACTAACGAGCAAAAATATCATTAAAAATATCACATCATTCTCACTTCACGGTCCCGACAGGCCCCTGGTCCGGCCACCTCAATTTGAGGTGATTTCCGGTGGTATTTTTTGCCCAAATTTTTTGCGTATGTTACTCATAAAGTCTAGTTCATCCATACCAAATTTGAGCAAAAAATTCAATCGGGAAGGCCGTCAAATGATTTTTGCAAGTTAACTGCGTTTTATATGTATATTCCGGACCAGTTAACTTGCAAAAATCATTTGACGACCTTCCCGATTGAATTTTTTGCTCAATATTGATATGGATAAACTAGACTTGATGAGAAACATACACAAAAAGTTTGGGCAAAAAATACCACCGGGAATCACCTCAAATTGAGGTGACCGGACCAGGGGCCTCTACGGGACTACGGACAACTTTATCTGTGTAGAAAATGCGAATGAAGTACACAACATGGTGTACATACCCCTCACATTTCTCTTTCAATTTTAAACCAACCCCCACCTGCCCCGCCCCACCGTCAACATTGTAGTCAACCAATCATTTATTGTTTTCTGAATTATATCTTGAGAAAATGCTCAAAGTCAAAAAATACTACTCCCTAACAACTATCCTTGCTATTTTTTATATTAAAATAACGAAGAAAATTATCGACGACCACATCCATGGGCTACATATTTTTCTAAAAATCTAGGAAAACTACCTGCAACCGTCCAACCGATGAAGCCAGCTTTTCTTTTTAAGCTAGGAAAATTATCGGAAACAACCGCAAGTAAAAAAGTTGGCAATGGAGCCATGGAGGTAACAGTTTAGGGAGCGTTTACGATGTTTCTACCTCAAAAAAAGTGGTTTTTTAAGTGATTTCATGGAAAATACTTAATAGTAAAAATTGGTAGTGTTTGAGAATGAAGTGATTCTGAAAAAGTAAAAGTTGGTAGTATTTGATAAAATAAATGTTTTTTGTGAAATAGGAAAAATGAAAGCAGTTTAAAACACTATGTCACTTGCTTTTAGCTTCTTAGCTTTTAAGTTATTAATATATGCAGAAGCTGTCATCTGAAAATCACTCTTTTAAAGTTATAGCAAACACTCCCTTAGAGAATAAAAATTGCTTTTGAAAATGACAAGGGCCAATAGTAGCACTTGTGGATATAGTTTGTCAAGATTTTTTAAAAATTGGTTGGTAGCAGCGATTATTGTAAGGACTTTTCCAAGATTTTTTTTTTCAAAAAAGAAAAACAATTGCACTTTGGGTATTTTTTTAATATGTTTCTAAAAAGTAGAGGGTGATGGTGGCGGGTGAGGTCGGTTGAAATAGGGAAAAATAATAATGTATTAAAGAAATAAAATACGAATAACAAGATAATGAAATTAGAATAAGGTGGATATGGTAATATGTTACGTAGTACTTTTTATTTCATGAGCTGAATTGTATAATTGTTTAGCGGTATTGGCTGAAGTTAGTGTAGAGGACTATTTTAACTATTTTTCATGTAATTTTATTTTATTTTATTAATAAAACATATTTAATTATAATTTTACAAAAAAATTGGTAGAATAGCCAATCCAACAACTTCAGCCACAACTTCATAAATTTCAGTAGAATCAGCCCGTGCAGCCGATTTGGGTTTAAAAATGTTAACAACTAACAAGTTCATAAGTGTTAGCAAGTTCGTGTTTGTGATTGGGAGTTTCTTAAGTTATAGTGTCTAATTAAGTATTTAATGATAGTATGAGAGTCTATTAAACAATATTCCCAAAATATAGGATTGTATTTTTTTTTGCGTAAACTTAAGGGAAAAGTATGGAAAAGTACATGTGGTTGGACCCGTTTTCAAGTGCAGGTTTGTGTTTCATTTCTTAACAAAATAGGTCATGTGTTCAAGTTCCGTAATCAGAGAAGGGGTATGACGTCTAACAATAAATCCGATTTTTAAAAGTGCCCGAAAAATTAAAGGAAAAATAATGAGAGGTTCGCCTCGTCAAGTAGACGTCCACACCATCTTCATCGTTAGATTTTTCGGGTCTGTTTGGATTATTTGTTAAAAATCAATTCGTTAATATCAATTTTTAGTGGACTTTCTGGTGACAACTGTGGCTAGAAACAAAAAGAAAGATGGCCCGGAGGTCGCCTCGGTGAGGCGCATCTCCGAGTATTTTTGTTTAAATTTTCTGGACACTTCTGGAAATCAGAATCACTATTCATTGATGTCTTCCTTTGGCGATTTCTAATTGTGTTAGGCGTCAGGTCCCTCATGTGATAACGAAATTTGAACATACGACCCAACTTTATTAAAAAATGAAACACATGTCTCTATTTGAAAACAACTCCAATCACATGTACTTTTTCTGTGCATTTTCCTATACATAATATAATTTCTATAGTATTTAGTATATTGAACTATGTTAAACATAATTATCATATACTACGTATTTCGTATTAATATTTATTATAGTACTATCACAATCTTATAATTACCTTCCTAATTTGACTTTTAATGTCAAACTTTATTAATCCTAATGGTTAAATTATTTAAAAAATACATTCATGTATATTTGAAAATAATTCTGAATGAATTATTTCAATATATATTGTGAGAATATTGATTTACTCCGTATTATAAATTTAATAAGCATATCATTTAACTAATACTCCCTCCGTTCTTTTTTATTAGTCCCCTTAGGGTTTGGCACGTGATTTAATAATAAAGTACTAGGGTAAGTATAGAGTGTGTAGTGTAAATGATAAAGTAGGAAAGATGATATATTAAAGGAAAAATTGACAAAAATAATCCCACCTTTCGCCGGTCTTCTCATAATAATCCTACCTTTAGGTAATCCCAGAATAATCCCACATTTGCACCACATCTTCTTTCATTGGACCCTAACCATGTTTTTTACTCTTTTTTTTAAAATCATATAAATAATCTCACCTTTCACTTTTCTATTATATCTTTATAAATGTGAGATTATTTATATAAGATTTTCAAAGAAAGGTAAAAAACTTGGTCAGGGTCCAATGAAAGAAGATGAGGTGCAAAGGTGGGATTATTTTCGGATTATGTAAAGGTAGGATTATTATAAGAAGACCGGTGAAAGGTGAGATTATTCTTGTCAATTTTTTCTATATTAAAAAGAGTAAAGTGATGATAAAGTAGGAAAGAGGGTATATTAAGAAGAGTAAAGTGATGGTAAAGTAGGAAAGAGAAAGTAGTTTGTAAAAAGTAAGTGGGGTAAAAGTAATAAAAGTGGGAGTATTTTCTCAAAAACTTTTCTTAAAGGGAAAGGAGACAAATAAAAAAGAACGTCCCAAAAAGGAAAGAAGGACTAATAAAAAAGAACGAATGGAGTATTGGTTAAACATTATTAACCGAATTTGACTTCAAAAGTCAAAGTGGGAAGTTAATTGTTGTGATGAAAGGAGTACTATAAAAACTAATTTGAAATGTCTATTGAATCGAAACCGGAAATCTAAGTTTAAATATGATTAAACATTTATATGAAAAAAAAGAACAAACGACAACCTAGTGAGTATATATTCATATCTTTAAATCTTTAATTATATATATATATATATATATATATATATATATATATATATATATATATATATGAAAACTATGTAATATTAAATTAAATTCACAGTATAAATAAGTTCATGATCAATTAGATAATATTGTGAATACTTCAATGATATATATGTTTTCTCACTTTCTTTAGTATGCAAAAAGTAACTTACACGAAAGTTAATACCATTAATTTGAGGCTCTCTTTTTTGAGGCTCTCTTTTGTGAACACAAATACGGAGTAGCATGTAAAAAATTTTGTAGTGAACTTTTCTAGTGGACTTTTTTTGTAAAAATCTTAAAATTATGGATTATTTGTGAGAATTTCTTCCTATTATTATTATTATTATTATTATTACCACTATTATTATTGTTTTTGTTATGTAATGTAATACATTAAACTTACTAATGAATTTTTTCATAAATGTAAAATTTGCATGATATATTGATATCAAACTTGAATAGAACATGCTAGATAAGATAGCTAGATTAAACGTGTGGAAAGTAGACATACAGGAGT